ATGACTGTTCAAGTCCTTTGAAAAGTTAAGTCTTGTTTAGCTCCTCAGTAGAAAGAAATGGCTGAAAAGAATCTATTTCATTCGAATTAAGGAAGCTGAGCATTACTGCAGCAACTTAAGAAAAACCCTCTTGACTTCCTGGAAACTGAAAGAATTTTTTTTGAAGAAGTAATTGTCTCTGACATCACTAAACTGCATAGCGAGTTTGCGAGTGGTTAGTTTGGGGTAACAGAGGAAGCAACTCCTTCACAGATAAGCAGGCAGTGCAATGTATGTGCCTAGTTATTCTCCTTTTTGCTTCAAGTTTTGCTGAGAAATTCTTTTGCAGACAGATAACACTTATTTTGCTTTTTAGAGAGAGACACATGCTGTTTCATAAGGATACGCCTGATTTCCAGAAATAACCATGTTTATGTGGCTTCAACTCTTAGCATTTGGCGTTGCATTTCTGGGACAGGATGCTTTTGTCAAAGGTAGGTAGAAATTGATATTTCTTTCTCTCATTTTGATCCCTTAGTGTCCTCTATAGAAGTAAAACAAATGGAAAGTTTTGCAAAGTGGAGAAATAGCATCTTTGTTCAGAAAACAGAATAGGAAGATTGACGCATAATGTACAAGGCTAAAATGTCTTCCGCATGGTCATATGTGAGAGTTATACGAACCATCTAAAAAAAAAAAAAAGATTCGTAGTTGTATTTGAAAAAGAATACATTTAGATCTCTTACGTGAACCTGTTCAATACAGTCTTTATGTTTGATTTCATCTCACGATGCAGTATGTTGTTTTCTGTGTTTAAATCCTTCAAGAAAAAATCTTCCCATCCATTTTAGCCACTCCCTACTCTCATACAGTTCCTCAAATTTTGATTTTTACTGCAGTGGGGTTAGTAAAAAAATCTAAGCATTGTAAGTTAAACTCTACAGTTGGGAAATTACTTATTTTATATAAATTTTATAAAATAAAAAATATTTATTTATTTCATAAAAACTGCTTCTTAAAGAGACTTCAAAATTTTTAATTGTCTGTCTGACTACCCCACTGCAGGTGAATTTGTTGCTTGACTTTTTTTTTTAATTTTATAAGAGAAAGATAGTGCCCAAGAGGCTGATCTTGCAAAACATGCTAGATGTGACAGATAATGTAAGTAGCAAGAAAAGCAATTAATTTTGAGGTAATACTTTATACAAAGACAAAAATGGATCTGTGTTTAAGAAAATATTTTCTTGAAAAGAACATGCAGCTTTCTATGTACATGTACTTTTCATCAGTTTAGTGAGTTAATGTAATTTGGGATAGTTGATGGCAGACACAAAAGCTTTTCTCTAAAACAATGTTCACTCTAAAAAGTGTCTTGAAACATATATTCTGAAATGGCAGCAAATGATATGCAGGGCTGAAACCTCTTTTCACAGACATTGAATTTATGCATGCTTCTATCATCATGTCACTATAGTAACACCAGGTTTATTCTGATGTAAGCAAGAAAATGATCTGCGTTTAGCTAAGAAGAGCATTTGAAGTCTGAGCATTAGTTCTCTTGTCCTTCAAAGTCTCTGAAGAGAGGCAGCACTGAATAAATCTGGTCGGTAGCTGTTGGATATTATAAGAAAACAAGTGAATGCTGTACTGTAGAGGAAAAGAGCAAAATCTCTTGCTTTTCCTGTCTTTTTTTTTTTTTTTTAATCTGCTGTCCTACTTTCCATTTTATAAGTCTTTCTGAGACTTCCCACTGCTCCCTTTTCTCCAGAAAGGGCGGGTTAGTGTCTGCTCTCTCAGCCACCTCCACAGTCAGTCGATGTGTTAGCTAACAGAGAGGGCTGGATGACAGAAGGAAGGGTAGCAGTATTTTATTTCAAGTAATAGTTATTTTCTCTGTCCACACACAGTAGTCTAGCTTGAGCCAGTTCCACTCTACATACTTCTACTAAAGAGAAGAGTCTCAATGAAATTATAAGCTTTAACTCCTCTCTAGTACACTTAAAGCAATTAACAGTCTCACACTGTAGTATCAAGTACGCAACCTCACAGACCTTGTTTTCACCAAGTAGTTTGGCACAGAGACTGATTCTCCTGTCAGGGTGATGGAACCATTATGCTTCATCTTTGCTGTGCAGATTACTCTGCCTCATAGCTATGGGCGACTGGGCAGTCTTCTAGGGAGGAGTTTGTTAACAGAGGAGTAAAGTTCAGAAAATGTGTTGCAGGCTTCGGTTTTACAGCAAGAACAATTTTCAGGCACTTGTTACTAAGTGTTGAGTGGTCTTTGGGACTTGTTTTGTTATTACTATTATTACTGTTATTCTCTAAGAGCCTATTGTACCTAGTGATTTTGAAGACCTTATCAGGAAAAATTTAAGGTTGTCTGACTTCCACCACAAGCACAGACATCCTATAATACATCTCTAATTTCCTGTAATCACCAAGCCACTTTTAAGAGCACCAAACTACATTAAAACAAACAAACAAAAAGTTAGGAATATCTAGAGCCTGCACAAAGGCCTTTTCACTATGTAAATCCCCCAAATAAAAGGCATGTATCCAGCTGGTTATCCTGGTAAGAAATAGATGAGTAATGGTATTTGTGGATGTACCCATACATACCAATATATGGTACCAATAAAGACCAAACTGGGAGTTTGATCTGTCTTTGTAAACAGTTGCACTGCTGAAACATCCCATTAAATTCATAGGTGTTTTGCATGCTATTTGTTAGTCACTCATCTCTACATGGAATAGCTAGCTTTACTAAAAACTTTAGTTGCCAGATGTGTGCTTCTTAAAATCTTTAATGTAAGATTGATAACATGACAACTTCTAATATCTGGGCTGACTTTCCAATCAAAAAAGTTAAGCTAACATACCTGATACAATGCATCAATGCCTGTTTATGCAAAAAAACAAACAAACAAAACCCACAAACAAAACACCAAAACTCCCCCTAAAACAACCCAATAAAAAAACCCTAAAAACCCCTGACAGACAAAAACCTTTGCTTCCATTTAGAAAAAAGAAAAAGAAATGCTTGCAGGACAAGCACTTTTTTTTTTTTCCATTAGATCATTAATTCAGGTTCCTCCCCCACCCTCCAGAAAAGTATTAGCAATTTGACAACTTTCAAAAGCCTTCACCCACTTCTGAGCCACTTCCTTTATTTCAGGAAACTACATAAGTGCTTGATAGTTTTGGGTGTGACTTTTTTATTTTCCAAGTTAAAAGTACCAGGCTTTCGCAGGCACCCAAAATCTGGGGCTGTGCAGTCTCCAGGCCCAACAGCTGTGGAGGTTTCCACCTGGAAGTGTTTATGTTTTCTTCGCACAGATACCAGTGTCAGTGTAGCTCATCCTATGGCTTTGACTTTCTGTGAAAAGCTTTTTCACAGATTGGTCTATCCCTTTGGAAAGAGTCTGGCAGACCTAATTTTTAAGTAGCAGAACTTAGTAACGTTGGCTCATTTTACGTGTAGGATAAAGGATAAGGGGAATTGCTCTGGCAGGAGTGTAGGTATTAAGACAGAAGAAAATGAAGTGAGGCTTTAGAGCACCACCTCTGATGTTTTCCTCTTACGGATGCCCCGCTGCAGTTTCTCTTTAGGACTGTATCATATTCTTTTTTTTGTTTTGTATATTTGTTGGGGTTTTTTTTTTTTTTTGTTTAGGGGTGCACTTCAGGCTTTCTGAAATACGTATGCCAGAGTCCTGCACTCAGGGACCTCTTAATCATTTGAAACAAATTGCCTGCTTTTCACATGTTGCACAGTTCCAATACTTCATTCAACATCAACTGAGACAGAGCGTTTGTGTATGCACAAGGGTGCAGGCAGTCCTGCTCACTTCCTGGGCTGGCCAGACAAGCCAGTTCTAAACTGGAAGCCATTCAGTTTTGTTATAGTGTTGTACCTAAGCCACCAGCAGGACACATGTTAATTGGGGCACGGCAGCACACTAACATAGCTACATGGTTTCTGGACTAGAATTAGCTACTTGATTTGGGCCAAACATGTAATTTTCTTTACCCATGCACCTAGACCTGCACAAACATAACGAGCAGATGGCTGGGTTGTTGATGTGGTATATTGATTGTAACTGCAGATAGGGCAAGAGACATTGGTTTTGGACTAATGGATCTTTCTTACATAGTATGGAAAAGAGATTTGCTAGTCATTCTGTATTCGCTCACATCAGTATATTGACATACTGAGAATGTTTTACCAGTGTAGACCTAAAGCCGCAAAACTGCCATGCAGAGACCAGTTCTAAAGAAAATCCAGCTCTCGGTGGCATGGTATGTTGGAACCACTTCCTTTAGTTTTAGTTTTAATTTTGTGAACTTAACGTTTATATATTTAGGTTCTGAAGAGCAAATCAACAGTGAGTGGGTTAGAAACATAGCATATATAATGAGATAAGATAGAAGAAGTGAGGGGAGGAAACAGGATGAAGTGACTTTTCAAAATGTTCCTAGTATCAGGAATCAAGCTCTGTTTTTCTGACTCCTGTGACCTACCTGCAGAACTGCCTGCCTCCCTGGGAGCATGTGTATGCAATAAACAAGTAGGCAGTCTCCATACTGAAATTGTGAATGCATTGTATATAGTGCATGAAAATTATCCTGTTTTCTTTTCCTATGCAGCTGCATTGTGGTATACACTGTACCATGCTGGGAGCAAGGAAAGGAGAACAGCAGGCCGTGAAAATGTTCTGTCCTCTGTTTACATTCTTGATCTAGTTTTAAGAGTTAATATTCATAAGTATATATCTGGCCCACCAGGAAGACAGAGCAAATTAACCCAGAATGAACTCTTTGCTGTCACGGCTTGACTTCTCTTCGCACTCATTCAACTACCTCGTTTAGAGTTACCTCGAGTGTCTCTGCATTACCCCATGTTTTGCACCACAGACTTGCCCTCAGTCTTGCCACTGTTATTCCCCTTCATCTGGGTGGCTGTTCCTCCTGTGCTGCCAGCCCCAGGGGTGAGGACCAGAGGGGAGCGCAGCGCGGGGATGGCTGCAGAGATGACACCCGAGACAGCAGAGGAACGAGAGGCACTGCAGGAAAGTGTCATGTGCTGGGCAAGGCTTACTAGCATGAGTTCAGCTCTTTGTGGCTGTAAGTGAACTCCTTTCAAACCCTAACAAGAACATGTGTGTTACAGGAATGTAACAGCATAGACAGGGCTGGACTGGATGCCTATGCCGTGCTCGGCGCAGGCCTGCCCTTTGAGCTGGCTGCTGGGGCTGTGACTGTCAGTCCTGCCTGGGAGACAGCGATTGTCCCTGAGCTCTGCTGCTTTCTGCATAGTGTGGAGATGTCCGTTGTTCACATTTATTCATCTTTAATCATATATAACCAGAAATCAAGCAGTTATTTCTTTCAGGCAAATTTATGAAATACAGAACACCCAAAACAGTTTTGGGGGAATAGTTTACTCTCTTCAATGCTCAGTTTAGGCCCTGAAGCACTTCTGTGCAAAAAATGGTTAAAAGTTTTTTAAGGTGGCAAAACTCTGACTTCCTCCTGTAAATATCAAGATTAAAATAACAGATACAGTTGCGAAAGCTGTTTTTTTCCCCTGCAACTTTACTGTCTCTCAGACTGTTTTACTGTGTGTCCTGATGTATTTCCAGGCTATCCATACACTTGCAAACAGATCTTGTTCACTAGCGTTTCAGTAACTGTTACAGCATTTTATCTATTTCCAGGCTTCTTTCCCTTTCAAGTAAAGCAGTTTGGGGCCTTCAGTGCCAGGATTTTAGAAACTAGCTGTGAGCACTTCAGTGCCAGCTTATGTTATCCATAGTGTTGTATAGCTAACAGGATCCACTTCTTTTCTTTTATACCACTACTTTGCAGTACTGTTCTTCCAGTTATTCCCTCTGTGTCAGTGCCTCCTCGGCTAGCCTGCTTGCTTAGGTTTCTATTCTCTGGTTTCAAAGACTTCTCTTAAATCTGTCTGTTCTTCATTCATAATCCCACCGCCCTGCACAGAGCTCTAGAGGTATCTTTTGTTCTGCATGAATGACTTTTTTTGTTGTTGCATAAATGTGGACTCCATGGAGCAATGTTTTTAATTGCCTTTTGAAATACATTATTTTCCTAACAAAAAGGGAAATACTCGAACTAGCTGTCTAACAGAAAAATGAAGCCATACAATGAAGCTTTCTGTACAACATATAAGGAAATAGCAATTTGTTAGATGAAGAATATATGTCCTATATGAGCTGAAACATTTTACACTTGGGGAAATGTAGTAGAATACAGAGCCTCAGCTGAGAAGATGCAAAAATATATGGCTAGTAAAGCCTTTCCAGGTAATCATATACATTGCAGAAGCTGTGAATGGAATATTTAAGATAGTATTAGTCCCTGAACTGTTTCTGGATACTAGTGAGTTAAGACATATATAGGTGGAAAAAAGGGTAAGATAAATGGCAGAGCATAGTCAAGCTTCTAGAATAAGATCTAAGAGACAGAAGTCAGCTGCAGTCTAGGCTGTCTCAGAAACTCATGGTGTGAAGTGTTAAGTCGTTTTCATTTCTCCAGATCTCAGTTTCATCATCTGTTAAGTTGAAGGTAGTAACGCTTACCTTGTTGCAAAATGTGGAGTCATGCAACCTGTAAACTACCACAAATTAATCTGAAGAAACTGGTTGTGCATTAGAGTATTGTTGAATAGTGTATCTGAGCAAAGAAAATGGTAAGTATGAAACAAATGACTTGTGCATAAATTTCTACCTTGTTCTCAGTCTTAAAGCACAGGTTTTGTCAATGGGGAGCTGATACTTTTGTGCTGAGTAAGAACAACTCATACTGTGCTTGACTTCAGCAAATCTGAAATTCTCTAAAACATGATCACATCAACTGTTGTCTCCATTTTAACCAATGTTGGGTGAAATAACTGAAGTTTGTCAATGAGTCCTTGTGAGACACAAGAACAGGACTGCCAGCTTTTTGCTTCCCATGTCTGTGGATGAGATGAGGAGGTGTGCTGAATGGACCATAGGTGCAAAAGGCTTCATGTTTCAAAGCATCCTCCACACTTAGAGGTAAATATAACAGTGAGCCTGTCTTAGGGGTCAATACAAGAGTGAGTAAATTAGGTGTTTTAGGAGTCTCAGTGGTAGCATTTGTAAATGTAAACCAACCGTTCTAGAGAAACTCAGGCCAAGCTGACTCTGTCAGCATATGATTTAAAATCATATGCTTGCATAATCAAAGGAAAGATGACCAAAGTTGCTACTGCAGCAGTTTAGTTAATCTTCTTGAGATAGACCTCAGATGTCTAAAATGAACGCAGAATCACATGCATATACACCTTAGAGAAATCTTTTGGTTTTAATGAGTTTTGGATAGAGTATCTGAAGGATTTCTTTATTCATATCACTCTTCTTGGAAGAATTTAAATGATAATGGAACATATATTTTTAAAATTATATGTATTTTTTTTTACTTGGTCCCTGATAGCAGTGAGAGATTGTTGTCCTAGGTGTCTTGTAAGCAATATACAAGCTCCCTCATCCCCAAATAACGTGTGTGAATGTGCATGCCTGTGCCACGTATCACGTGTGTGAGTGGAAGTACGACATTTATGATACTTGAGACTGCCCAATAAGTACATGACAAAACTTGGCCTCGTTTGCAGTTTCATTAATGCTTCTGTGCTCAACTGTGCGGCCTCAACAGAACTGAAAGACTTTTCTACATCCTCCACACACCTGCAGTCTAGTGTGTTAGTCTGAAGTATGAAATGTGGTTGAGGTTTGAGGGAAAGATGTGAAACAGCAGTAAGAAATATGCGTTAGTACAACTTGGTAGCATTTCTGATTTTGCTGTCCTAGTCTGTTAATGAAATGACTTAGAAATAAACGTTTCTGAGAGCCACCCAATACACTCACTCTCACTCTTAGAAAATATTAGGAATAATAGCAGCTTAACCCAGGGTCAACTTACATACTAACAGCTCAGAAGGTTTACAGTGGAATGGTGCTGAATAAGAGGGAGGCAGTTCAAGGAAATGAGTGTGAGATCTATAGTTATTTATCCTTTATATTAATGGATCAAGGTTTTGTAATACTTAGAGGTTTTGTAATACTTGGAGGTGAAACTTTCATAAAATCCAGTAATGTCTGGCCTCCTGCATTTAGCACTTTATACTTTTCTGAAGATTAGCCAGTATGGCCATGAGGATTTAGAAGTGATTAAAATAGGTAAGTTTTAATATGTAGTAAGATAGTATTTATAGAGGGCTACCATTTATGGAAATCTTGCCTACAGATGCCTTTTGAATCAACACAGGATATATTAAGTTCATTAGAAACCACAGAAGAGCTCAGGAGAAAAGGTCCCACAAAAATTCCAAGATTTGAGGATCAGATTATTCCAAAAGCTAATAAAAAAGCAATAGCCGCATTTTTCTTCCTGCTGTGATTAATGCTAGGCTTAAGGGCCTGCTAAGATGCAGTTTTGCACCACACTGAATAAACAGACAAGTGTTTGGTGCAGTAGCTCGTTTAAGTTTTTGTGTTAATGTAGGGAAGAGAGGCATTTACAACGTGGAAGTGATTCTTCTCCAGACATGTCAACAAGTGTGTCGTCATTGCAGGAGTGTGCCTTAAATGGCAAGGGAAGGATTGCTTGCAAACCACAGCTTCTAAAAAAACTCTTCACTGAGCAATGAAGACATTTTAATAACACTGAGCATGTCACATACGCCATTTTCGGCTGCTCTCTCTGCAGTTGATGCTCTCTGTTTCTCTCTGCAGTAGAATTGTTGCTCACTTAAGTCTCACCTCAGTGGTGACATCAGTGGAAAGACTGAAAAGGCTTTCAAGTGTCTTACAGGATTTATTTTATCTTTGTGGTTTTTTACTGTATTTTGTTGAATTTGCTTTGGCTTTATATTGGAACAGGAAAATAAAGTCCACTTTTTTTTTTTAACCTACTGGGGCTCTTCAGACTCAAAGTTCTGCTTTCCTGTTAGCTGCCCTAAGAAAACTGTTTGGAGGAGACACCCCCAGTTTTGACTGTAAGCTCCAAAACACTTGAGAACTGTTTTTTCATAGAAGAAAATGATAAGATTTTCAGAAGACCTCCATGTGTTGGTCACCAAGACGATCTGAAAAATCGGAGAGTGCAGCTGCATGTTAATCTTTTCTGAAACTTTTTCTAAAGTTGTGCATACTGAACACTTGGAAGGTCAGGAAGGAGCTGCTCCTGTGTGTGCGTGACTGTCTGACCTGTGTGTGCAGTAGGGCTAACGGCCACAGTCACGATCAAGCATTCTTGTTGGCCAGGTGCTGTACAAATATACGATGAAATATGATATTGTCCTCAAAGGGTTTATGATCTGATTCTGGACAGCACGGATACTTCTTAAAAAGGAATGGTATAGAGGCAAGAGGAAAGACAGCTAAGGGAAAAAGTAGTAGTGGCGTATGTGCCCAGCCAAGGAGCTTGCATAATCCCCTGTGCTGTTTATTTCCTTTTCTGAGAAAGGGACATACAGCATCTTATTCAAAGCAGCATACAACTGAATAAATTATTTCCTGGATCCAAAATAAACTCTTCTACATAGGTCCATGTGTTTCAGGTCTCACATTGTGCTATTATAGCTTCTTTACGTGACAACAACTGATGCACATATTCCTGGAAGATAACTCTTAATGATAAAACTGCTGCAGGTAAAAACTTGCAGTGCTCCAAAGCTCCTCTCTTGCTATATAGAAACAATAAAAAATCAGGTCACATATGAAGGCACTATATTTATTTGCAATGATTATTTTCTCCAGCTGTTTAATCCTTTCATTAACATATTGCATTCTCTCACCAGTGAGTGAAATACGGTAAACAAACAACAGAATGTGTAGATGATGTGTTACAAACACACACAGATTAACTCTCTTGTATGGGAGAGCACACAGTCTTACCACTCTCATTCTCAAATCTTGTAGCAGATACTCTATCTGCAGAAGATGAGCTAATGTGAACAGCATCTGTATGAGAAAGAGGGACCACATTCTGTTCACTTCAGTTCAGAAAATTTTTATGTTGCATTCAGCATTCTCATATCTGAGTACTCATAAATAGTAATAACAATAATAAATTAATTT